AGCTTTTAGATTTTCCAACTCACTGACTCTGGCAAGGAAGTGATCTGGGCCTTTGGGATGAGGGGTGTGTGTGTGTGTGTGTGTGTGTGTGTGTGTGTGTGTGTAATATTCAGATTATACAAGGGCTGAGAGTAAGTTTGCATTTTTATGACCGTATTTCCCAACACTTGATTAAATATAATCACTTAAATAAATGATTTTTCAGCACCATACCAGAGCATGCCTTATATTTTCTCACTCTTGCTAGTGGTTATAAAATTTTTCTTTCCTGCTGTACTAACAAGATTCCAAAGTAATGCCCTCAATGGTATTTATGTAGCCTTTATTGTGCCTTTTGTTAGATTTTTGGTCCTATGTTTGAGTAGTCGTGTAATATTAAACATGGTTCTTTGCTTCAGTAACTATTTATTAAGCACCTACTTTCCAAGCACTATAAATGAGGTGCTGCAGGAAAATAATGTGTTCGATGTAGTGTTTTTCCTCAAGTTACTCACACTCTAAAGTGGGTGGCAGGCTTGTGATTCATCAGGGTACAATGTACTAAGTAATAAGATCAAGGTAAATGCTGGTACTTTGACAATGTAAAGTGCCCACCCTACTCAGATGGGAAATGTTTTTCAGAGAAATCGTGCTAAGCTAAGTTTTGAAAGTGTCATCCTAGTTTTCCATAAATGGAGATAAGTGGAATGTAGATGAGATAAGACACCCATACTGAAAGGAGCCTTGAAATGACATATAATGAATTTGGGTTTTATCCTGAATGCAGTGAGAAAACACTGAAAATTTTAAACAAAAGAGAGGCAAAAATCAAGTATGCATTTTCAAGAAATCCCTTTGTTGACTTTGTGGAGGACAGTTACAAGGGAGACTGACTGGAGACAATAAAATGAGAAAGGGAACTGTTGAAATAACGTAAGTTAGGAAATAAACAGGTTTCTCATAAGTCTCATGGCTGAAAGACAGCATGGTATCATTGGCTAGAGCCAGGATTCTGGCCAACAGGCTTGGGCTCAGATGCAACTAATAACTTACATGATATTTGATTGTTCACAATTTTATGTTGATCAGTCTCATTCAGTTAAAAGAAAAATAAACCCTGTAAGATTAATTGAGCTTATGGAGAACTTATGGTAAGCAGTGGGTGTGTAACAGGAACTCAGACAGCCAGGGTCCCTCTCCCATTCATAGCTTCGCTCCTTGCATCACTTTTCTCTTTTCATTCTCTTTTCTCTTTCAGTCCATCTCTTTTATTCAGTTTCTGCCTCCTTATAATATCTGCTTCCTCTGGCCATATTGGCTTCTCACGCTTCATATTATATAAAAATAGTCAATTTCCCCTGCTGAGAGGGAAAAATCTCTCAGTATTCTCTGGGTCATCCTCCCAAGAGAGAAACGTGGATGGTTCTGCTTATCTCTGCTTATCAGATGAAGCCATGTCTCCATAGCTTACTCTGCAGCACAGCATTTTGACTGGCTCTAGTCTTACAGTGATAGTATAGAGAGTGGATTTGGAGAACAATGACACCTACTTTACAGCTTGTGGACAAAGCAATTACCTTTAGAAGGGACGATGGAAGGGATGATGGAAAGGACCATTGGTAAAAAAGAACAACCTTCAAAGGACAGTTCTAAGTGAGAGTTAGGAATTGAAATCAGCTGAATGTATTTAATGATCCATTAAATACGGAAAATAATGAACAAGGAGGTTGCTGATGTCATCCACAGAATAACTAGCATTCCATCTACCCAAAGAGGGAAATTAAGAAAGGTTTTCAGATGAGTTCAGATTTGAACTTTGTAGAAAATCCCATCAGATAACTATGGTTACTGGTTGGCTTTCAAGAGATATTTGGATCAGAGATAGTCATTTATGACTACATTTTTTTCTTTTCGGCTTCTGACGTTTTCTTTTGCTTTTGTCTTCAACACTGCCTTTTCTTTCTCCTCATGTGCCTCCTCTTCCCTCTTCCTTTATGTGATCATTCCCAATGGTCGTAGATTACTAGAAGTCCAGTTATGGTTACTCTTTATCTTCTGTATATACTTTTCCCAGGATAATCTCAACATGTCCTAAATTTATCCTAAATGCCACGTGTAGGCTTGTGTCTTACAAACTTACTTTCAAAGTGACATACCTGGTTGTCTACATGACTTCTTTATGTAGATATCTCACTGACATCTCAGACCCTTGATTTAAACTTCCCACTCACCTTTAGTCTTGTCTTATTAAATAACACTGTTATTCACTTGTCTACACAAACTAGATCTTGAATATCATTCTTAATGTTATCTTTATCTTATTTCCTTCAGCAATGCCTATCAATTCCATCTCCAAAATATGTCCTGACTTTGTTTTATCCTTTCCATCTCTGTTTCTGCTGTATTGGTCCAAACCACTATCAAAGAACTTTTTGATTTAACTATTCAATGACTTCCTATTTCATTTAGAATAAAGTTCAACTCCTACATGGGTTACATGATCCTCACCTCTATCATTATACACTCCTATCACACTCTCTTCTAGCCGCACAACAAGCTTCTTCCCATTATAACATTTATTCTTTATGTTTCCTTTACCTCAAACAATCTTCAGTGGTCTGGCTCCCTTGAATAGTATGTCACAGTTGAATAAAGAGATCTTTCCTATATTTAATACAAAGTAGCCCCATCCCATCACTGTCACCTTAATATCCTTTTTTCTTTCTCTATTTGTATAGCTCTTTGCTTTCTGAAGTTTTAATTTATTTATCTGTTTGATTCAAGTCAATGTTTCCATACTCACTCGCTGATATCTAAGTTTCATGAGATAGAGATGTTGACCTTCTGCTTCACTTCTCTATCTGTAGTGCCTACAATAGTGCCTGGTGCATGTACTGAGTAATTATTGAGTGAATGATTCGATTAATTCTTGCCAAAGACTCTTGATGGGTCATCTTGTTTTCATTCTTCCCTTTATAATCCATTTTTCACCAAAAATCATTTTAGTGTATAAAACCAATCACAACCCAACACAAATTTCATCTCCTTGATGGCCTCCAGTACACTCTAAATAAGATTTCAACTCATTATGTTCATTTTCAAAGATTTTGTCCTTGCTTTTTACAAATTACAGATCTTCGTTCAATTCGTTGATCATCCCAAACTGTCCTCTGCTCTGAATGCACTTCCCAATATTCTTTGCATATTTATTACTTTCTCTTTCTTTAGATTTTGTTGTATTTCTTCAGAGAGGTCTTTCTGACCGTTTTACTTAAAGTACGTTCCCTTTATTTTTTTTCTCAACCTGTTTTTGTTTTTGTTTTTTTTTTTAGCCTTCACTAGTTTTTGAATTACTACAATTATCCATGTGTATATTTGGTTTTCATCTGCCTCTTCTGCTGTCATGTAGGATGATCAGGGTAGCAATCAGGTCTGTCTTACCCTGTTCAGTATCCTGAGTACCTAGTATGATACTTGGGATGCTTGAAGATACCCAGTAAATGTTGTTTTAACTCAAATGGTATCAAATGTTAGTAGAAGGTCTTGGAGTAAATGAGATTACCCATGGTTACAAACTAGAAACTCCTAAGTTTAACCTAAGGATGTGTGGTTTTTGTTAGCTTATTTTGTGTTAAGAGAGCACATGTTTTAAATTTTTTGAATACTCTTAGGTATTACAGGAAAGCTATGGTTTATCATAGTCCTTATCTATGGGTGGTTTTGAAATATTGTAGAAAGGACGTTGGGACACCTTACTTTGCCAGACATTAACCCCAGGAGGTGCCAGAGATCCAAGACGATGCTGGATCATAGAATGATTCAGAAGGCCCAGGAGAAGAGGACTTGGGGAAGGAGGGAAATACGCCTTTAGGGTAATAGATATTTACTGACTTTTTTGGAAATATCTCAATATTAGTGTGGATACTGCACTACTACTATCATCCCTAACCAGGCCCCTGTAGTTATTTGAGTTTGTGACCCTTCCTTATTTAGGATAAGAAGAGAAGAAAGCAGAGAACATAATCCTAGGAAACAACAACATTCAAGGGCTGAGTACAATACAGTAAGCCCAGAAAGGAGCAGCTAGAGAACAAGCAAAACAAAAGAAAATGGTTTTCTGGCAGCTCAGGGAGGAAAGTACTTAAGGTGGTCAATTGTGTCAATAGATAAGGATGGAAAATTGTTTAGTTGGAGGGCATTGGTGACTCCAGAACAAAAAGCTTAGTGGACTGAAACTTGATAGGCATACCAGAAAGGGAAGTGGTGGGCGCAGTCGGCCAGGGGCACAGGGAGGGCATGAGGAAATGTGCTGTCTGTAGAGAATTGTCAAATAGCAATACAACTGACTAAAGCCTGTCTGCTTTTGTCTGCTTTTTGGTATCATCATGCCATGCTCCAGCAATTCCAAACATGGTTAAAGTTAAAATTTTCCTCCCCTCAGTTACCACTCTTAAAGGCAGGAATAGAGTTAACAGAAGAGGGCATGAGGTCAAGGGAGGATGAATATATAAGACTAGGGAGACTTGTGAATATTTATATAATCAGAGGAAAGGACCAGCCCAGAGGAAGTGTTTCAGTCGAGTAGAGGTTATAATCACTAAGTCAATCTGAGGGCATACCCGTTGCTCAAAATACAGGAATGATTTAGCCTTGAAAAAAAGTAGGACCTCTAATTCCTAGGGGAAGAATCCTTCATCCTTGACTTAGAATTGTTTCTTTATGGTGAAGTTGTAGATCTATTTTATTTTTTAAATTCACTCACAAATTTTGGTTATATTTTTATATTAATAAGTAGTGTTCATTATATCCACTTGTGAATGATATTTCAAAGATAACATTAATATTCCAGATGGGACAACTAATAACTTATTTCAAGGATTTAATATGATATATATTTAGTATAATTTTAAATGTATAGTATATATTTAATATAATAATTTTAAATGTATTGTGTTAATTAGATATATTCTAATTTCTGACATTAAATTAGTATATTCTGCATTTACACTTATTTCATACAGGTAACAAATATTGGGTGTTCAAGGATACAACTCTTCAACCTGGTTACCCTCATGACTTGATAACCCTTGGAAGTGGAATTCCCCCTCATGGTATTGATTCAGCCATTTGGTGGGAGGACGTTGGGAAAACCTATTTCTTCAAGGGAGACAGGTCAGTATATACTTCTGATGAGAAAAACAGTTAATTAACTAATGTTTAGAAAATCAGCACTTCTAGTCTATCAGAGGCGTGAGCTGTTGATGAAGAATCCTGGTGGATTTAACACAGGAGTTAATGCAATTAAAAATTGTTTTATATTTCAAATAATATTTAAGATAAATCTTTCTTGAATATATTCAGCTAAGGTGACTTTCTTATGAATATGTATACCTAGCATATGTTTTTTCATTTCCCCATAATTGTAACATGCCCATAATACTATGTAAGCTGTGTATATGTGTGTTCTTGCGATGCATTTTTGGGGGAATTTTACTTACTTTGTTGAGGAAAAAAAAATACTTTTTAGCACATAATTTTTGTTGTTTCACACTCAAAGTTAAATTTTTATACTTTGTATACAATCAATTGTGAAGACTTCCAAATAATTTCAGTTTAGTCACAGATTATATTTCTTAAGAAGCCATTTATTTAGATACCATAGTCAAACTATCACTGGGCTAAATACTTTTAGCTTGAAGGATAATATTTTCTCCCAGCTATTTTACTCTCTTATTTTTTTTTTTCCTTTTGTGATATTACTAACAGAGTTCACAAATTGAAAGAGAATTGTTAGTTTAAAACTTACAGTAAGGCTGAGTGCGTTGGCTCATGCCTGTAACCCCAGCATTTTGGGAGGCCAAGGTGGGTGGATCACTTGGGCTCAGGAGTTCAAGACCAGCCTGACCAACATGGCAAAACCCTGTCTCTACTAAAAATACAAAAATTAGCCAGGTATGGAATTACAGCCATGTAATTTCAGCTACTTGGGAGGCTGAGGCATGAGAATCACTTGAACCAGGAGGCAAACTAGTCTGGGCAACAGAGTGAGACCCTGTCTCAAAAACAAAAACAAAATTAAAAAAAAAAACCTTATGGTAGCTATTAGGCAGATATAGCCCTAGCCCTGCCCAGTTGTTAACAGATATTACAAATGGAATATATATAAGTCGAAGCCTATATTTTTATTAATTTAAATAAATATTAAATAAAAAAACCAAAAATCAATTTTTAATTACATTATTACTAGCTAGCTCACAATGAGAAATTCATAAGTAGACTTCATTGGTTTGTAGGATGACTTAAGTCTGCCATTGTACTTCCATTTGTTAGTAAATTTTTTTTAAAATACACACATATAAAGTACAAGCTTCAATGTCCAACATTCCATTACTGAGTTTGCCATATTATCTTAGCATAAAATAACCCTATGCAATGTCTCCAACTTTAGGAGAAAAGTAAGTAAGGCTATAAACTTTGTTTATTTGGAAATTTACAATTTTTAATTGCAAATGATTTCAAACATTGAGCTTTATGTGTGAACCCAAAGTTGCTATAATTGGCTTCCATGAACAAGAATGTACACTTTTAAATTTATCCTTTTACTAACTTTATATGCAATATTTCTCTATTTTTCCATAGCAAAATGCTGGTTGATTTTAATTCATTATAATAAAGTTAGACTGTGCTATAGTGTTTCTTACTAAATCACAAATTAAAAATATCTATCAAACAAAAAATCAATCAAAGGAGAAGATGCTACTTAAAGCCACAAAAAGTATAATGACTCTCAACAGGATGTCAATGTATTCGAGTATGAAAGGGGAAGAACTTTATTGCCACTGCATAGTGACCACTAATGAAAATAAATCTGCAGACTTATAACATATTCTTTAAAATGGTATAACCGTTAAGGTTGTTAAATTCACCGGCTGATTTTAATCGCTTGAATAAGTACCATGCAGATCTCAGTACTATATGGAGTTGCACTTTTTTCTTTTTCTCCAAAAAGGGCAAAAATGAAAGACTGAGGAGACACTTTGGAGAAGTTAGCTTCTAGGGGACAGAAAATGGAAGCTGAACTTTTATATAACAGTTTAATTAAACTTTCATAGATAATAATAAAAATGCCCATTTCATTATCGGATAGCTCTTTTGCCCACAAATGTAGAGATTACATTTAAAATGTTTTCATTCTAAAAATTTAGTTCTTATTGGAACATTTAAGTTTAAAAATTAAACGTGAACTACTTTAAATTTGTGAAATCAGTGGAGGTTAGGTGCCAAAAGTATAGAAGAATAAAGACTATAGAAAACAGGAAAAGGGTTTTTTAGATCATTTACTCTCCACTTGAAAAGCTACATGCTAAATACAGAAAATGTATTTTCTACATGCTAAATACAGAAATGCCTTTATTACTTTTAAGTTCTGTTTAAATAACTATGGTTTTATAGGTTTTACAAAACTGAAAGCAGGATTTCAATTAATTTCCATGTGTGATCTTATGTAAGATGTCATGAATTATAAATGTTTTATAAACAAATTATTCCATAGTCATATAATCACGTATTTCTAGAGTCAACAGTAAATTATCAATATGTTTATTCTAGATTTAAAAGTTAGATGGAAAAGACATTAAACTTTCTAACTGAAACAAAGAAACAATTTAGTTGTCACTTTTATATGAGAATTTATTTTTTATTATTTCTCCCCTCTTCTCCCACTTCCATTTTTCTGCTTACAAAAAAGAAAAAAATTATGTCAACAGTTTTCTATTTATCTAAGGCTAAGAGCAAAAATGATTTTAGTGAGTATCTAGAACAGTTGTAAAAAATTCAAGTCCTTAAACAGATCAGGTGAGTAATGGCTGTAACACTGGGTAAAGTAGTATATCCAAGGCAATAGCAAATGACGAGTACTGTGGTGAGCTGGAAAGTGCAAAAACTCTAGAAAAGCATTCAAAATCAAGATTACTTAAAATAATCTACTATGCAAACAAAACACATCTTTAAATTAGATGCTGCCATATGTCAGCCCTGCATGTTGTTCACTTCCTACCAAAATCTAGATACCCTCAATTGCAGCCCAAGAGTACCCTTCCCTCTCCACCGAACTGCCTGTGACAGTATGAACATGAGGCAGCCCATTCTATTCTCGGTCGCTCTAATGCCTGCTTCCTTAATATTTCTGCATGTGTCCTACCCTAGCACTTATTTCATTCATTCAATAATGCATTTTGAAACACAAAGTATGTGACATGTGCTAGGTAATGAAGATGGAGTAGTAGAAAGAAAGACCACAGAGCTCCTAGTTTCATGGCACTTAGACTGTGTTGGGGGAGACAAATAATAAACAGTAAACAAATAAATGACCCTGATAATTTTCACAGTGAGAAATGAGACTCCTGGTGGTAAGGACAAGTTAGGACTTAGTGTTGACTTGGGGGAAGGCCTGACTTGTGAAGGGGACACTTGAGTGGGGACTTGAGTAGGAAGACGTTTCAGCCATAGAAAGCTATTCAGGACACTGTGTTGCAGGTGGGTGATATAGTCATGCAAAGGCAATAATGTAGGAAAGAAATTGGATTGTTCAAAAACAGTGTTGCTAGAGCATAGTGGTTAAGTGGTGGAAACTGGAGGATAGGGACCAGATTTCACTGGACCCTGTAGCCTATGGCAAACAGTTTGAATTTTATTCTAAGTACAAGGAAGGGGCATTGGAGGGTTTTCAACAGGAAAGTGATATGATCTTCTGTGTATTCACAAAGATTGTGCTGGCTTCTGTGTGAAGAATGGGCTCCAAGAGTGGAGGCGTGGAGGGTAACTGGGAGACCATTGAAGAAGTGCAGGAAGACATGATGATAGCGGTGGAGATGGAGCAAAGTGGGTGGGTGCAGGATACATTTTGAGTATGATGGCAAGTTGTCCTCAGGGCTTGGATTTTAGGGGAGGAACAAAATAAATCAGGGCAACTTCTAGGCTTTCCACCCAAGTAATTAAGTAGATAGCACCTTATCTGGAGACAAGACAGACACGGAGAGTAATATTGGGGGAAGGGATTAAGAGATTGAAATATCCATGCTTGACTGAGGTGCCTATTTATACACCAAGTGAAGAAGTCAAGTAGGTGGTTAGATAATTGAGTTTGCATCTTAATGGAGAGTTTAGTTGGAGGCACAGATCTCAGACTTATTGACATATAAATGGTATTGAAAGCAGGAGTTCATGTGAAATCTTCTAAGTATAGAGATAGCTAAAGAGAGTAGATGAAATGACAGTTCTTTAAATAAATCTGTAAATTAAGATTAAAATATAGAGTGTTGTACTATTTCACATACAGCATGGAACTCAGTGCCTCAGATTCCTACTTGCCCTTTTGTTAATACACTACAATTTGGTCCTTGGATAAGTTTTGATCTTCATAACATTTAGCTTAAAATGCTATATTTCTAAGTCATCTCTCAACATCTCACAAACATATCTAAGTCTCTATTGCTATATTTCATAAGAAACTTAGCTGTCGAGAATTTTAAGGTATTTTCAAATAAAAAGAACAAACTGTAGACCTACTTTATTTTCTTGATTATTATCATCACTAACAGTCAAATAGAAAAATACATTTATTTCTTCCAGCTTTAATGGTATGTTTATAAAGTAATTTCTTAATGTATATGTTTTGATTCATTCAAAAATACAGCAAAAACTGATATATTGATATTTTCTATTCTGTTGCATTTTTAAGACTGATTCTGAGGAATGGGATTTTGGGGCATTGATTAAGACTGCTAATCTCAAAAAAAATCATCTGATTAAAGTCAAAATTCTACAGTAGAGATAACTGATGAATCAGAAGAAAGAGCTATGAGCTTCATTTATAATAGCTTTTATTACTTACTGACCCTCCCACACAAAATTTCAATGTTTTCCATGAAAATATCTACATTTTAAACCCCCCAAATGGTTGACGTACACAGTGTTCTCATCTGAATATGCTAATTTACTTCTCAATGCATCTATAAGCTTATTTTTCAGGGAGAAAAACTCAGTGGGATGAGTTTTTTGTTCATGTTGACATATGCTCAAATATGTTGAAAATTAAAATACAAAGCAATGTTTATGAATAAGCCTCAGCACCTTTTATAAGACAGCACTAAATATAGATAATTCTAATTGCATTCCAGTTTACTGGATATATTTCAAAGCTGACACAAAGCAGACAACCTTTGGGATTGAGCCTATGTTGAGTTTTTCTAAAATTGTAAAATGATCCTAAATTATTGTTTTGTATTATCTGCTGAGAGAGAAAAATGCGTTTATGTTGACGAATTCATACCCAAATTATGTTCCTACAAAAGAGTGTAATACAATTTACATTCCATTAACGTTTTCCTGAAATGAGATCTCTCTAAATCCTATGAGTCTGGCAGATAATATAGGTGCACAGAAAAGCATCAGTGGGTGAATGAATCTATGAATGAACAGACTAAGGGAGAAAGGAAAGCTATACCCAAACAATGAACACCAATTGTTTGAATGACAGCATTGAGAGAATAAGAACTACAGGCAGACACCAGCAGTAACATTTGAATTTCAATTCTACCACATTCAAATGCAGTAAATGTGACTAAGTCAATTGTCTTTGAATAATATGATACCCAATGCTCTGTCATTGCTTAAATTGAGTGACAATTCATACTAAATCGATGGTTAGGATATTATTGTGGAGAACTCTGTAATATGTGATGTAAAAGACTGTTGCGGGATTTAAGCAAAACAATATATGTGTATAAATTTACTTTATAGCTACAAAATGTTACATAAAGTGTAGTTTTTCTACATAAAAAACATAACTACTTCTCAGAAAACTAATCTGGTTGCTAGGTATGTATTAATGTTACTTAAATCACATGCAGGATGTGATCCCATTGTCCTCAGGATTTTAAGTTATTCCAAATTTTATTTATTGTTATTATTACTATTATTTGAGATGGAGTCTCTCTCTGCTGCCCAAGCCAGAGTGCAGTGGCGCTATCTTGGCTGGCTGCAGCCTTCACCTCCTGGGTTCAAGCGATTCTCCTGCTTCAGCCTCCCAAATAGCTGGGATTACAGGCACCTGCCACCACGCCCAGATAATTTTTGTATTTTTTAGTAGAGAGAGGGCTTCGCCGTGTTGACCAGGCTAGTCTTGAACTCCTCTTGAACCTCAGGCGATCCACCCGCATCGGCCTCCTAAAGTGGTGGGATTATAGGCATGAGCCACCATACCTGGCCTATTATTATTTTTTTGAGACAAGGTCTCATTCTGTTGCCCTCACTGGAGTGCAGTGGCATAATCGCAGCTCACTGCAGCCTCAACCTCCTGGGCTCAATAGATCCTCCCACCTCAGCCTCCTGAGTAGCTGGAACTACAGATGCGCACCACCATGCCCAGCTAGATTTTTGTTTTTGGTAAACACAGGGTTTCACCATGTTGCCTAGACTGGTCTCAAACTCCTGGGCTCAAGCAATCCATCCACTTCGGCCTCCCAAAGTGCTGGGATTACAGGTGTGAGCCACCACACCCGACCCTAGTCCAAATTTTAAGTTAGAATTTAAAAGCTCACTTTAAGTTATAGTTTATGTCATCTAAAAATGCCATGTATTGTTAAGATATGTCATTATTTATTCTATTATGAGAGGAAAACCCTGTCAAGTAAACTAACACTGTATCTGTTGAAAGGGCATTCTGATGTTGAGAGGTGTAAAATGTGAAAAAGTGTTGCTTAGGATCCATGAAATAGGTATTTGACTATTTCCCTGCAAGAGACTTTCTTTGCTCAAGTGTGGAAAGCAGTTTTATATATTTATATATACACTATTGTAAACCCCACTGAGATATTTACTTGAGAGAAGAGATCTTTAGATTATGAGCAAATCTCAACTACATTAACCATTCATCACAGAATGTTCTGTGGGACAGGAATATTCAGAAATGATGTTTAAATATTTTAATTTAAAAGTAAATGTTTCCATGAACAAAATGTGAAAGAAAATATATTTTAGAATTGGTGGCATGATACACTAATGATTCCACTTCATTGTGCTCTTCCAAATGATGCAGTTCAGGCACCTTTCTTTCAGCTCAGTGCTTCTCCATGTAGCTATTTCTGATTTGTTCGTCAGATCTGTTCTCATCTTTGATGTGATGAGAACCTGTGACAAATACCCGCGACAGTTTCCCTTTTGGTGTAAACTCTTCTTTGGGTGTTATTTCTTAGAACACTTCCTGAAACAATCTTTTTCTATGTGAACATTGAAGATGGAGGAAGTGCATCTTCAATGGATGGAGGAATTCCAGATGTTACTCAAATGAGGTTTCTAGGAATTTATAGCAAAACCTTTGCACAGGACCCCAGAGCTCTGTAGGTAAAGAATCCTCCATAGGCCTGGCAGAGGCATATCCAAACTAGAAAATACTTATTTTTTTCTAATCTCAGATAAAATGGCTAAGACAAAAATAATTTTTTGAAAATGTATCGTTTCCCAGATATGTGTTGGTGAAACACTAGCTTTAGTAGATCACCATAGATGTTTAGCGGGGGAAAAGCATTGTCAAATAAAATCGGGAAACATATTTAGTGGCATCAAATGAATTTGGAGACTGCCTTTATGGTGAAAATAGCAGATAAACATGGTTATCTGAAATCAGACAAACATGGTTATACTTCTACCTATCATTCATTGTCCTCCAAGAATTCTCCTCTCTCCAATGGGGACAGTGATGACTATCTCATGGGTTTGTTGTGATTAAGTAAAATAATGCATAGAGCAACCGGGCTGCCTGAAATCAGTGATATCACTGTGAACTCCCAATGATTTTACCCTTTTGTCAATCTTTGTGACCATTCAAAATATAAACTCATTTTACTCTTAAAATACATGAACAATAATGAGTGATCCAAAGTAGGGATGTTCACAATTTGTTCCTTGGAAGTCTAGGGGTTCTGTGAAAGTAGCTCAAGGACTACCCTGTGAACGGATAAGAGTCTGAGAGTTCTAACTCTTGGTGAGTTTTGCTCTTATTTGTATTAATGTCTACACTTTCGTACTCCAATCAAGACCAGCCCTAATGTCTATACTCACATTCCCAGTTTCTTCCTCAACAGCTCCACCTTGAAGTCTGAATTTAAAGTAGCTAACACCAAAGTCAAGATTCCTCGATCCATCTCAGCTTACCTTCCCTTACTTCCTTACCTTACTGAATGATAACATTCTTCTTCTAGATAATCAGGCTTAAAATTCTTGAGTCATGCTCAGCTTCCTTCTCTTTCACACTCCACATCTAATCCATGAATACGTCCTTTGGCTCTTCCTTTAAAATATATCCCAAATGCCTTGATTTATCATCAATCCTATAGCTGTTGACTCCTTAGTCCAAGGATTATTGCAGTGACATCCCAACTGGCATTCCTACTTCTGCCTTACCTCCTTCAAACTCTTTTACTCATAGCAACCAGTGTATTCTTTAAGTTTAAGCTCCTCTGTTCAAAATATATATTGGCTTCCCGTCTCTCTTAGAGGGAAACCAAAGGCTTACTGTAGTGTAAAGGCTTGTCTAATCTTAGGTTCTGGTTCTGACTCTCACCTTGTGTCCGCATTACTAACTCAATTCCAGTCACCCCAGCCTCCTTGTAGACACAGGTATTCCAGCATGTGCCTGCCACAGGAATTTTCAACTCCTAGTTTCTCTGCCTGGAATGTTCTTCTCCCAAAAACTACATGTATTGCTCCTCACTTTTCTGTGCTCAGATGTCAACTTATCAGACAGGACCTCTCAGTCCACCAATTTAACGTGGCTTCTGATATTCCTAGATAACTCTATCTGCTTTGCTTTCTTCATAGGTGTTATCACCTCCTATCATAGTATATATTTATTGATAAATTAGTTTATTGCCCATATCCTCACATATCCTATAATGTGAGATCAGTGAGAACCACAGCATATCGGTGTTGTTCAAGGTTGTATCTCTAGCCCTACAATAATGCCAGCAACATAATATATATTCACTAAATATGTACTGAATGAAGAAATAAATCAAGATTCTACTTAAGATGATTTCAAAAAAATGTTCTGCTTCCTAAGAAAGATTTTAAAAACTCATGAAAACCTCTGATATATATATGCAGGTTGTTGATGTCCTTATGAACTATAAATATACTTAGCTAGCACTTTTTATTCACTTTAGCATACTGAATAAGAACTTATTTTTAACACAGGCAGGATATGGACAATAAGATGCCCATTTTTAATATATGCAGGAGAAGAAACAGAATAAATGCCTTATGCCAATTGTATTTTCAGTTATTTAAATCAGAGCTTGCCAGTTGGAGTTCTGTAAATCATTAACAGGTGCACAGGTAACAAAGTCAAGCGCACAGCAAAGGTCTAATAAATGTTAGCTATTATTGTTTGTATGCATAATCTTTCCCTATATGTGTGTTATTGTGGTGGTGGTTGTTGTTGTTTTTATCCTTTGTAGATATTGGAGATATAGTGAAGAAATGAAAACAATGGACCCTGGCTATCCCAAGCCAATCACAGTCTGGAAAGGGATCCCTGAATCTCCTCAGGGAGCATTTGTACACAAAGAAAATGGTATGCAACATGTGCTTTCTACATTTCATAAGTTTGCTATCTTAGTAACACATTAGGCTTTTTCACTGTGCTAAATTAAGCCATTGGAAAGTGCTATACTGGAGCTATGTAATACTGTATTTCTATTTATATAAACTTTTTTTCCTAGATTTACATGTAATATTATGCTGTAGACATTTTTTAACCTCCACTTATTTTAGTTTGTAAAAAAGTCATTAGAAAAAAAGATGAGTAATAGTTTAATATGGAAGTTGTGTATACCTTTGAAGTAATCTCACCTGTATTTCTATTAAAATTCCTGTAAAGATAATAAAAATACATGGGACAGAACCGGTCACAAGGAAGATAGAGGTGCCACTCGAGGTATTATATCTGGTAATAATGCATGTTGAGAATTATAATTTTTTATGTATTCTTTGACTTAGAGTGTCAGCAAGCAAGGAAGATTCCAGCTCAATATAGTGAGAATAGAGTGGTTGTATGATGGCATAATAACAAGAAAAAAATCCAAGAGCTGCCTCTTTACTTGCTATCCCAGGATTTCACATTCAGCTAGATCCCGAGTGGAAAGTTAGCCAAGCCATGGATAATCCATACTCCCCTATCTGTTGGCATATATGAAATGTAAACATATCTCTTCTCATCCAGGGATTAGTAAATACAAATAAATCATAATAATAATTTGAAATTGAATTTATATGCAATATTTCAGAACAAAGGAAAGGAAAATGACATTCTGAAATACAGAGAAAAAAATTTACCTCATCAAATTATTTTCGATATGAAGCATAAGAAAATAGTATATTATATATGTCCTCAATAACATGAAAAGTCTGTGACGCATGTTCAACATAAGCAAAAATAGGCATCTTTTGCAAGACAAACTTAAGTGCATCTAGGGGCAAGGAAGAGAAAGCAAAGTTAATGAAAGAGTCAGGGGAGAGTGAAAAAATCATACTAGCACTGAAAACTGTGATTGACCATAAGCCTATTGCAAGATTAAGAAAACTCTACACTGGCAGAGGATGGGAGCTCACGCCTGGGAGGCTGAGGTGGGTAGATTCCCTGAGGTCAGGAGTTTGAAACCAGCCTGGCCAAAATGGTGACACCCCCATCTCTATTAAAAATATAAAAATTATCCAGATATGGTGGCATGCACCTGTAGTCCCAGCTACTCAGGAGCCTGAGGCAGGAAGATTGCTTGAAACCAGGGAAAGGAGGTTTCAGTGAGCTGTGATCATGCCACTGCACTCCCGGCTGGGCAACAGAGCCAGACTCTTTCTCAGAAAAAAAAAAAAAAAAAAGGAAGAAAAAGAAAACTCTATGCTAGTATAAACTTGAAAGAACTTAGAACCAGGATAAATTAATACCAATCAGAAAAATCAAAGTACATGTACTGTTTTTTGAGCATTGCTGTATGTATAATGATATACCACTACATTCTGTGTGATAGTGTCCCAGAAGTGGAACACTGTAGGCAGAGGCAAAGTCAAAAAGAACCTTGAAGTCCTGATCATAGTACTGGCTGAGAAAAATAATTTGTTTGTATTCTATTGGCTCAGAAAATGGAAAGACCACGTTAAGATATTACTTGTATGTGACAGAAGCAGAAATCCATAGTACAGTGAGACTAAGATTAAAACATAACTCTCTGAGATAAAAGGGAAAGGAATAAGAGAGTAAAGGAAGTCACTATAAAGTCACATCGGAGGTAGTAAAGTCACATTAATAACGTGCCTCAAAACTTTCGAAGCTATACACATAAAAAGGACAAAGAAATGAAAAAATGTGAAAGATGAGCACATCAGTTTATTCATCCACATGTATTAAATAGCAACTTCTTACTAATGAGCATGTAAGAGTAAGAAATAGAACACAGAGACCCTCCTCTCAGGGTGCATCTCCTAAGCTATATAGTAGTACCAGCTGTGGAGAATTATCTCTCATTACACTTTTAGGATGAAACAATAGAAAAGTCCAGTAAGGTTCAGTCAAACATAAAAGGATCATCAAATAAAACATAGCCTCATTAATTTATTTTCCAGAATTTCTCAAAACAATGAAAATTCAGTTAAGAATTCACCAGAAGTTGTTCTTCATAAGCATGTATACAAAAATACATGTCAAAGCTGCTTTTAAAAGAAAAAAAAAATACAAATACCTAAATATTTATTCAACCAACTGACTTTCATAAATGAAAAAACCCTAAATTATTGAACAAGATGAATTTTGCAGGGTCAAGGTTTGACATACTTCTATTACCAAGATTTTAGGCTACTTCCTTTCAAATGCTTACACTATCTTCTAGTAACTAGACATTTTTTTTTTTTTTTCTGAGACAGGGTCTCATCTAACTATGGTAGCCAGGCTGGTCTGTAACTCCTGTATGATGCCCAGCCTGGTGTTGAACTCCTGGGCTCAAGCAGTCCTCTTGCCTCGGCCTCCCAGAGTGCTGGGATTACAGGCATGAGCCTCTTCAACAAACCTAGACTTTTTGTGTGTACCAAGTATTTTCAATAACTACAATTCTACTCCTATATGTGGAGTGTGTTACTATAAAATTTGGCCTACAGAACTGTATAGTATGTAAGTAGAAACTTCTTAACTTTTGTGTAATGGCCAGTAGCTCCATAGTAATTAGCTTTAGCTAAAAATTGAAGATGAGGACACTTCCGGCTGTTGGTTTCCAGTTTATATAAGAAGTGCATTCACCTGTTTTGAAGGTCTGTTTAATTCTAGATGAATGCCATTATTTAACTATGATTGTCTAATGTACTGTTATTTGGCAGGCCCTCAATGTTACAATGGCAGGCCCATTTCTTCATCCAAGCCTGTTGAGTAATTATATTGAATTTCATTAATGTGATCAAATACCAACTCTCGGCAGAACAACTCGAATCTACATACACCTGTTTTCACTTGGCAAGTTGCCCTCATTGCAAAACTGTCCTACGAAACTAAAAGCAGCAGTAGGTGTTTATGGCATTGAACAGAATGATTTCCAGAATAAAGTGCCCTGAAGTGATCATCTGCCCTATCTGAAATTTCTTGAGAGATGTCAGAGTTCTTCATTCAAAAATGATACCTCTCACACCCTTGGACGTTTAACCTACAAGTATTTGATAAAAGACAGGAGATCTCTAAGGTCAGGAGTTTGAGATCAGCCTGACTAACATGGAGAAACCCTATCTCTACTAAAAATACAAAATTAACCAGGCCTGATGGCGTATGCCTGTAATCCCAGCTACTCAAGAGGCTGAAGCAGGAGAATCGCTTGAACCAGGGAGGCAGAGGTTGCCGTGAGCCGAGATCGGGACATTGCGCTCCACCCTGGGCAGCAAGAGCGAAACTCAGTCTCAAATGAAAAAGACAGTAGATATCTAAAGGGACCCAGTCTTAAAAAAATTATTAAGTATCCAGGCTCTAGATCTAGATCAAGATTTAAATCTTGTGTTCACCAGAACATGAGCATGTTATTTTGTCTCTGATCCTCAATATCGTGGGCTTAAAAGAAGGGATAGTTAATTCTACCTGATAGAGTATTTGTGAGGATTAAAAGACAGGTCATCTACTAAACTTTAACACAATGCTTCTTCCATAATAAGTCCTCAATAAAACAGGAAAAAATATTACCTTCATTAATGATTATAAACTATGAATTATGCTTTCTATCAAAAATAGATAACTCCTAAAATATAGTTTTAAGTAATTATAGCGTTAAAACATTTCTTCTTGATTTTTTTAAGTTTTATCTCAAAGGACAAATTAAGTCAAAGTATTATAGTCACACAGAAACTTGACATGAATGAGCTGTGGACAGAAAGAAAAAAATGGATATGTGCCCAACAAAAGGATAAAATTTGGAGAACAGATGTAGGAAAAATGTCCCTATTTGTAGTTTAATCATCAGGAGCTTACAAAGTGTATTGTATGCATTCATAATGTTTTAGAAAATAAATTGCATGTTACTTGAGCCTCCCACATCCCACCTCCTCCCCGTGAAATATAAGGTACTAGGAAGTATTAAAAATGGAATTGTAGATTTATGTTCTATTTTATTCTTAAAATAGTGAATAATGGCTTTGGTACTTCTATAAAATATAGCTAGGTGACACAAATTAAACATACTTTTAATAAAGTAAAATAAAGAGGACAAAAGGAGAAGGAACAAAAATGTTTATGACCTAGAGCCAGAAATGGGGTTAGAGTACCAAATGCTATGAATACATCTTTACATGTTGAGATTCTTTGCAGACAAATGAAAGCCCCTCCAGTTTTATGATTTATATTTTCTTATGATTCCTCATCCAAATTACAAAAGAAAGCCTGTTGTTTAGAAGGAGCACAGATTCCTGATATTAAGATGATTAGAAATTTCCCTTGAGGTGTTTCATAGAGAAGCTTCTTTATCATACATTGAACAATGTTCCCAGTAACAGCCTGAGAGTAAACAGTGTTTCAGTTTATAAGGCTGTTTCAGCATCTTTCAATATAGGTTGATATTATCACACTAATATGTAATTTTGTAACAGCAGTCCTATAAGCGAGCAAAAAGATAAGGTTCTCTTTTCTAGCTTGGACTAGGAGTAGATTGCATAGCACGGTCTTTGAACAGTCCTCTGTAAATGATATTTCTCTCTCTGGACTGAGCTTTCCATAGGCATTAGATGGCATCATTCCTGGAGCACAGCAGCCACAGCCATCTTAACAGACAGCTGAGCTGAAAATAGTGTTTTCTTCCTATGAAAACTGAAGGGCCTTAAAATACATCTCTTAAGACATAGCCTATTTTAATAACATTTCTCTACATATACACTGTCACAAATAAGTGGTACCTGTGTGTGTGTATGTTTTTCCCCCTAGGCTTTACGTATTTCTACAAAGGAAAGGAGTATTGGAAATTCAACAACCAGATACTCAAGGTAGAACCTGGATATCCAAGATCCATCCTCAAGGATTTTATGGGCTGTGATGGACCAACAGACAGAGTTAAAGAAGGACACAGCCCACCAGATGATGTAGACATTGTCATCAAACTGGACAACACAGCCAGCACTGTGAAAGCCATAGCTATTGTCATTCCCTGCATCTTGGCCTTATGCCTCCTTGTATTGGTTTACACTGTGTTCCAGTTCAAGAGGAAAGGAACACCCCGCCACATACTGTACTGTAAACGCTCTATGCAAGAGTGGGTGTGATGTAGGGATTTTTTCTTCTTTCTTTCTTTTGCAGGAGTTTGTGGTAACTTGAGATTCAAGACAAGAGCTGTTATGCTGTTTCCTAGCTAGGAGCAGGCTTGTGGCAGCCTGATTCGGGGCTGACCTTTCAAACCCAGAGGGTTGCTGGTCCTGCACATGAGTGGAAATGCACTCATGGGGAAGCTTCCATGATGCACAGTATCTGCTGTTCTTCAGTCCTTTGTCTTTCTTTGTCATTCAGTTCTAGGCCTTTCCTCTGCACGCTCAATGCCCAGTAAAATTTCAGGATTAACTAAAGAAGAGGAGAAAAAGAAGAAAAGATTCTTCTTAAAAGTTTCTAATGTTATTTTCCTTCTGAAGTCTGAGCCCATTTCTGGGGGGAGAAAAAAAAAAAAAAAAGCAAATCAGAAAACCCACGATTTTTCCTTCTTTTTTTTTTTCTTTTTTTTTTTCTTTTTTTTTTTTCTTTTGCTTTAAAACAAAGGGAAAAAAGAGTTTAAACAAAAAACCCACAATTGAACTTCCAGGAAAGTGTGAAGACCCAAAACAGCTTTGTCTCCAAAGAAGATAGCTCTCTGACTGCTTTGGATAGTCTCCTACGCACCATTTTGTCAGGTGGGAGATTTGGAATACACATGCAGGACGTTAGACTGTTGGGACAGCCATTTTCCAACAACCAAGGGGCCAAAATATCTGCAATATAGTAACAGCCTTAATAATACATCCATTTTTCATTTTATACAGCTGTTCTCAGCTATGTCCTCAATGTTTCATCGCATTTATATTCATAGCTATTTTCAAACACGACCTTTTAATTGTTTTTGAAGTATTTCTAAACCCCTTCTTTCCACCTTACTCCTCCATCATTGTGATAATCTTCCCAAGTTGTATTAGGCCATTGCCCCAGGCCTTCCATGAGTCTGTCAGGAATATTCGTTACAAAGCAGAGCAAGAAGCAGTATATCTCTGAAGTGGATTACAGTGACAGTTATTTTACAAGGATTTGTGACACTAGTAATATACCCGTGTAACCCTTTGAGAACTATCACACCAGCTTTCAGAGTCTTAGGATTGTTGGTCTTGTGATCTGATAAGTTACAGAACTGGGCAATGGTAAAAACAGTCACAGGTTCAAGAAGATCAGGTTTTTAAAACATTATGTCCTATAATGTCATGTAATTTTTAAATGATTTACAAGACTACATAAATGTGTTTATAGCAAACAGAAATGATGTTACTTGCCAAAATTTTTCTGGCAAATAAAAAAGGTATTTTATTAAGAATCTCATAAGACTGAAATTTTATTTGAAAAACTGATAACAGCCTACATCTTCTCTTTTTTTGTTTCAGGCATACTGAATTTCTGTTTTAAAATCCATTGCATGAAAATTCAATTTGCCTTGGTATATGCAGTTAGCATTGCCATTTTAAAAATGAATTAAAACGATGACTCTGAAGTTGCATGAATATGCTCCAGTGCATTACCTATTGCATGTCCACCATAGTTCTCAAAGGGTTAGTGTGGCTTCTGGCATTTAGCCGTCCATTTGATCACTGACAGAGCCAAGAGACCACCAAAGCATTTCATTGTTGAGTGTAATTTGTCCTAACAGCAGTATTGTCATTTTCATGTGACCTGCAGAGCAGGTTTGTATCAATATTTTTTTCCTAGAGAAAAGTCAGCAACTGACAGACCTCTTTATTGATTTTTAGGAGCTGCTTCTTGCAGTGAAAGGCTTTACAGCCACTGGGCTGTGAACTTATTAGAGATGGTCAGAATGAATGCACCCCATGAGTCAGACATTGGCTTTGTGTGAAAGCCAGCTTTGAGGGGATTAGCTTTTGAAACAATGAACAGCTTGCCTTGAACTTGATTATTGATCTATTGACTGTCATTAACAACAACTTAAACATTGTCTTCTGTGAAAATTTTCCTTGAAGAGTCCTGTTCTATGTCTTTGCCCTTTGACCTTTAACTTGCAAACTGGCACAAACTGAAGGAAATCTGGTGTTGCTTCTCCATTGGATTAGTTGTTCTGTAAAATCTAGTGAGCATGAGCTGTTTCCTTAGAGTGGAGAGAGTGGTGATGGCAGATCTGCAGATGGACACTTTGCTCTTTACATGCACACTCTGAAAATGCCCTATAGGTAGAAGTGAATTTTAATTTCATTATAATATAATTTCAAGTCTAAATTCATCATTTTAGTACAAATTACAAAAAACTATAGGGAAAAAAAAAACCTCAAATACTTGAATGGCCAGTGTGGCTTTTATATAAAGCAGGAATTTTATACTAGTAAAAATTTCTTACTCATTTGCTAATAATACACATTTCCAGATGATTTTTAATGAGTGTAGGTATACATTCTTATTTCGAAATGGATAGTTTGGCTGCCTTGAATTTATATTTATACTCAACATAGCATGAAAATTAGAATGCCTTTTGGTTAAACTACATGTTTATGATTTGGTTGGGGAAAATATTTTATAATTGTAGGTGGCATGCTGCAAAGCCTTGCAGATTGTTATTTCTTACAACCTGAGCATATATACTGTGAGGCTAAGAAAAAAGAACAGTAAGAAAAGAAGAATGGCTTTACAGTTAAATATCATACAATGCAGATGATATTTTAAGAGGATATTGGAGATTATGTACGCAAGGGCCAAGAAAGCAAGAAATGAGAACCAGAGTCAGCCCTGTAGCTTTACTTCAGTGCTTCCATTCTAGATGATGCTGATATTATAAAGAGTTAGTCACTGCTGCTAAGCATGGAGGACTATATACATAAGCTCGTTTTTACAGTGTTTGCTTGTAGGAGGGTTTAATCCTTTTAGGGCCTTGATATCAAGAAAAAAATAACTGGAAACTATATTTTGCTAAAGATAGAAATGAGGAACTGTGTCATTTTGGGACATGTGCAAATCATTGAGGAACTCCATCACCCTGCATTGAAAATTGATTTTTTTCCTCTAAAATGAGAAAGAAACTGAATAAGCAATCTGTTGCCTCTTTACTCATTCATCACAATATCCTGATTCGTCATAAGACTATAAGTATAAAGGGCTAGAAAATAATCATAGCATTAAGAAGGAAGGAGTCTATCATTATGCTTGAATTCTGGCAAATGTCATGAATAAGGGTTGGGTCACATTTACTTTAATATGACACAAGATTTATGTGATAAGCAAAGGCATATAAGGCTACTCTTTTGACTAGAACATTTCAGTTATCAGGCTGTACTATTACAAGAGATAAGAAAATAAGGACAATGTAATCACAAACACTGGGATACCATTTGTTTATTGTACACCAGCTACTTTGTGGGTATGGTTCCTGACTCCTCTTCTACTTGGGGTTTGGGAAAAAAGTCTCAATCCAAATGGAACAGCGATATGGAAAGTAATTGATCTAACACATAAGAATAGTGATTCGAAACCAATGTGGAATAAATTTCCATGGGTCAATAACATAAGGTGTCAGTTCAGTATTAGTAGAGATATGCGAGGCATCAAATATCACTAAAAACATGAAAAGCTCAGACATACCATTTCCCAAATTGAAATGAAAACACATTCATGCCTGCAAAACTAATTGTTCTGCTTCGTTTATCACTACTTTATCTAATATAAACACAAATGTAAACAAGGCAATGTTCTTCACATAAAATGACCATATAGTTAAGAATTTTAGTAAAATATTGTTGTTCTGTGTATTATTAAACAAATGCAATGAAGTATTAAAATAGCTGATCGGTTTGAATTTCCTGTAAAGCAGTAATTCCGCATCAGAATTGTAGATAAGGTTGTGAATTTACTGACTCACTTCCGAACAGTATCTGTTGATATCGCAGTCAGAGCAGGTGAATACAGATGCTCTTTCTGATTACAAAGGTTATAGAGCTAAATTAGACAACATTATGTGATACTAGCAAAGACAACTTCTGTTATAAATCAGAGGGCAAGGCTTTTCTGAATCGATGTGATAAATTACTAAGTAATGATTACCAAAAATAATTACTAAGTAATAAAGGATACAGACTGGTTTACTGAAAAAAGCAAGTGTTACATTTAATAATTACCCATAATCATTTTTTATTAACACATAATTTGGCCATTTCATATACTATGTACCTATTTTCATTCCCTCTCTGTGGGTCATTAAAAAACACAATGTAGTGGATAAGAACATTGTCCAAACTTCACTGCTAGTTCCAGTACATGGATGATGGTGTATAAACTGGATTGTAGGGGTAGTCATATTTGCAAGTTCTACATATTATGCTAATATCTCTAGTGTGGTACACATACACACCCACACTTTGTGGATCTTACAGTGGAATAAATAGTGTGTCCACATTAACTAAACTCAAAGTGCTATCTGAAGAGGAATGTATGCTATAAGCAAACAGACTGAGTTAAACTGAGTCATGAAAATATATATATATTTTTAAGTTTTTGGAATCATTTCCAGAAACTAATAAAGGGGTTTACTGATAGTATTGAGTCTGTGAGATTGTAGCATATACTGAAACAATCTTCTGGATGGTGGTAAGATCTTTTTAAGCAAACACAGTAAAGAGCTTATTTCATTTCTGATGCTTTCAAGGGCATATTCCAAAGTATCACAGATGTCAAATAGAATGTGCTATATAAACCAAAAATGTACATTTCAGATGACCTATTACAGCAATCTCAGCCAATATGTAATATCACAAAATGTGTCAAGTCAATCGTATAAGAGGATCTAATCATTCGGCTGGATTTCATGTACTTTCATGATGTTGATATATTGTGACCATGGGAAATAGGTGCCAGAGCATATGTAGCTAAGTCACAGGTTCCACGTTGCCTAGGAGGGAATCATAACTATATCAGAAAATTTTTAACAGTTATGTCTTAAAAATTAGAATTTTATGTATTAAAGAAAGCAGCAACCAGGAATAGCACCACACCATAAATATGAAAGCTAATTATTATATTTAATAAATATAATGGAAATGGAGGAGGAGGAAAAATGAGTCTTTTGTTAGATATAAAGACAAACTATAGCACTCCTTGGTAATACAACTGGAAATTTTACTTTAGCAATCATAAAATAGTGGAGAAAGAAATGCCACTTCAAGCTCTTCACACTAGTGATGATTATGTGATATATCAATGTAATATTTAGCCAGTGGTTATTAGATGTTACCATGCTTAAAGACATCTGATACTCATGCATTGCCTTACAGGCTAAAAATGTAAGAGGTAGGTGTTCAGTAACCTCAGTTGGAAAGATATATAATGTTAGAATCCCCTGAGACAAGCCATTTCCCTGATATAGAAATTTACCTCAATAATCATGTAACCTAAAACACTTGGCATAGTAGCAAAGAAGTCGCCTTAGTGTTCTAATCTCATCTAATTGTGACCTTTGTCTTTCATGTACTTCTGAAATCATTTTCCATTTTTTCCATTGGTGTGATTTTGACACAATTCTGAAATGTTTCAGGTAAGATTAATAAAATCCAATTATAAATATATGTTTCAATATTTTATACATGTCTACTTTGAAAGTTAAACCAATAGTATAGAAAGCCTAAGAATGAACAGTGATTAGACATACTCACAGAAATTAAGGGAAAAACACATGATATTGTAAAATTCCTGTCAATTTTTGAGTAGAATACAGAAGTACGTAGCAGTCTTCAATTTTTAAACACAATTATGAGCTTACAACTGGACGTGACATGCATCATTTATTAGAACAATGTTAATTGTTTATACTAAGTAAGGATATAAGATCACAGAAGCTTAGTGTTATAACAGAGACTTCACAGGCATTCATAACTAATGCTTTCTAAGGAAAATAAGGGCATAACCCGGAACTCATGGTCAGTGCAGAGTAAGTATTAAAAGTTATGTATGAAAGACATTTATTTATAGAGATTTCTGAGGATTCTATGCCTTTTCAACTTAAGGATGAGTGTGTCTTAGAATTTATTTTATACATCATTGGACTGGGGATAATATTCAAATCTGCACTCAGCGTATCCTCACATTACGTGGCACATTGAACAGTATAGGAAAAGACATCATAAACTAGAATGTCGTACAGATTCATATAACGTTGCCATGTGCTCTGCTGTAGAGCTGAATTTATATGCCCTTAAAAAGGGATAAAAATCAATTAAATATAAATATGAAAATGTACTTACGTTAGGTCACTTAGCTTCAGAGCAAGATGTCATTAACCTTTATTTCACAGAGAAAAACTGGAAGAAAAGAATGGTGAACAAGAATAAAATGATAAACTTCTTGGCTTATAGAGATGTTTCTTGGGAATTTTTTCCACTTGTTTTTATCCATGAAAAAAAAATATCAGTCACAATACAGACATTTCTGTTGTATTTGGTCTGTGGGTAAACTAGATCCCAGGCAGAATACTTTTTGCCACAGGCCTTTTTATACATGCTTTATATATGATGAAGCTTTGGTGAGATGTGACTGCATGGTAGGATGCATTTTCCTAGGATAGGATATGGTGCTGCTTGTACTTGCCACCTTTTATATGAATGTATGTTGCTACATTGGCCTGTCTGGCCAAGATATGAATGAATAAAGCCTGGTATGAGCTATCTATTTGAAAAGTCACTAGGATGCATGTTTCATTTGCTGTTACATAATGCCAGTTTGAACCTGTTTCCTCTATATATTAACAATCCAATTGTTAAGATAAAATATACTTTGCTTGAATGAATGATTTTGGTAGTAATATGAGAGTTATCCTTAAATCAATGTTATAATTTTTGCTATTACTGAAATTCCATCACAGAGGCCACATTATTGGCTGTCTTCTCACAGCTCTTTAGTGTATACCATTGCCTGAGTAAAATTAGGTTTTTAGGTCTTTTTGGCATTTACTTCTTTTATAGCTGATGTGAAATCAATTATTCCTTTATATGTTCATAAGTACAAATTTTCACTATCTTAATTAATTCCAAACAAACAATTTCCAAGCAAGGGTGTGTGTGCCTGGTTTTTCTGCTCCTCCAATTCTAAGATCATTATTTGTTTGCCTTCTGTTTGTCACCCAAAAATACAGATGGTTGGGAAAGATACATCTTACTGAGTTGTCTTATGCAGTCTCTGTCTATATTTGCATTTCTTTCTATTTCTACATTGTCTTTTTTTTTTTTTAAACACAGATTTGGTTTTCCATTCCCTTTGTGGAAATCAGTATTGAGCAG